TAGGGGTGGTAAGGCGCAGGGTTGCTCTAAAGGCTCCGCCCGCGTTAATATGTAGATGTCACATCTGCTGTTTGCATGCTTTCTGCTGCTTTTGTCTGGAGTGCTAAGTGCGAGCTGTCTTCGGTAATTACCCTTGGAAATAGAGTTCACTTGATGTTTACACAGTTTCCAAAATAACTGCAGAGATTGAAATATTTATTGAATGGAAGTTTAGACACGAGCTTTAGCGTAGCGAGGTGGGCATGGGCAATAAGCAGCATCGCCTCCTGGACGTGCAGGATTTCCAGTTCTTCCAGGTTGACCATCTCTTCCAGGGTTTCCTCGTCCTCCTGGCTGACCAGCTGGACCAGGTCCTCCTGGTCTTCCTGGTGCACCATTGTTTCCGCGTCCTCCAGCGTTTCCTGGAGCTCCAATTGGTCCAGCAGGTCCTGGACGTCCAGGAGTTCCTCTTCCACTGGTACCAGGTCTTCCAGGAGGTCCAGGCTGTCCAGCGGGTCCAGGGTTTCCTGGTGCTCCTCTGTCTCCGGGAGGTCCAGCGGGACCTGGTCCACCAGCATTTCCGGGACCTCCAGGACGTCCTGGGTTGCCATTAGGTCCTCTGTTTCCAGGAGCTCCACTTGGTCCGGGTGGTCCTCTCGGTCCAGCTGGGCATTGAACACAAGCGGTGCTGCGGCCAGGGCAGTTGACGGGAACGATATTGGTGGTGCCGTCTCTACCAGGTTGACCAGGTCCTCCGGGCTGTCCTGCAATTCAGAGCATTCACTTTAAATTCTACTGCAGCCAATGTATAACGAGAACTTACCAGGTGCTCCAGGACGTCCAGGAGGTCCAGGTGGTCCAGGTGGGCATCTGACCGTTGGAGTCGTGCACTGGCAGTAAGACGGAAGACCAGCCTGTCTCTTCGAACGGAAGATGGAGCTGAATGGATTCTCACGGGCTTCGATGGAGGTGCGACGGCGACTTGGTAGTCCATCATTTGGGTCCAGGCGGAGTCGGTCTCGACGCGGAACACAGAGACTGTTTCGAGGACCTGATCGTGCATCTCGTTGATGGTATTGTAGAGCGATGGAATCACGATCAGACATGCGGCTATGGTCAGGATGGAAAAGGCCGAAGCCACACCGATGATGAGTTTCTCCTCGAACATTGTGCTGTTGTTCTGCAGTAATTCTTTCCTTTTATAGTCGCGATTGCCCGCCTCCAAAGGACGATTGTGGCTGTTTATCCGATTATTAGGCGTTTAACCTTGCGAAATCTGGAGCACCGACAAAAAACTGAAATCATTCTAAAACGATTATAGTAGTGACCTTGTGTTGTGCTAATTCGGTAAGAGTCGTTGAAGAGATAGCCTAGATCTGGGCGCTTTTTCTATCTATGCAAGGTGGTCGAGATATTGCAAGACTCATTCCCCTAAAACTACGAATGGTCTCGCCAGAACAAGGTTCCATGACCTCAGATTATCAATGATCTTATCAAAGCCTTCTTTCATGTCATCAAATGATTTCAGTGGAGTAGTAAGGTGACTGGAGAAAAAGTGTTTGAAAGCCATTAGAAAATTAGAATATGCAAAAAAGCTTATTCATTTGGGTGACCTGTCCGCCAATGCACCTTCACGGCTTTTAGTATAAATGTGCTGGCACTATGTACCCTTTGCTTCCCTAAACGTCCGAAATCAGGCCAGTTTTCTTACCGACTTTCTCTACGAGGGTAGATTTGGCTAAGAATCTGTCCTCAAGGTGACCTGTCTTCCTGAAAACGTACATCATTTCCGCACAACCCAAAATTCCCTGGCGCCCACGCAACAGATGTAGGCGCCAAAATTCCCTACGTCGTCAAAATCGCTGGACACTTCGCCCCAAGGTGGTTTGACCTCTCATACACGAACTCTTATCCGCTAACTGGAGTGCCAGTGAAACCAGGGATGGTAAGGGGAACGGCACACCCGATAGCAAGTCATGCATCTGCGCTCTTAATCCGACATAGTGATCCCTTAATCTGCCAACCTGAACCTTCGAAAAGGGAAGGATTAGTATTGCAGACAATCAAAGAAGGTGCTGCCTCGTCTTGCCTTGTCTCCCTGACTGCACTAGCACACCGCTTGGCACGAAACCGACTAAAGTCCGAGTTAAATTGCCGAAATCGGAACAAGCAGGCCGTGCCGTTGCTTGGGGCGCGTGCTTCAGGCGGGTAAGGGCTTAGTGGATGCGACATTCGTGCTCAGGAGAAAAGCCACCCCTGGAGACCGACTTCCAGACGAATTTCAGTTCTGAGGCCAACTTGTCTACAACGTTTGTGAATTCCTGCCCTACCTACTAGTATAGGAGCTGTGATAGCACGAAGCATTGCACGTACGTATTATGCTGAACATTGAAAACAAACTAGGAGCTCTGTTTTTGGGCGTTTGAAGGCGAGAAACTTGTCAAAGTGTAGGGCTAATCGAATATTTCAGGCGCAGGTCGGCTCGATGGGGGGAGGGGCAGTTTGATTGTTCCCATCGAAAACTGTTGGGACCAGTAAATTCTGTAAAGCCATGCAGTAGAAGGAGAATCGTATACAAGAGTCTGCAGGTCGTACGAAGGTGAGACGAGTAAGTTAACAGGAACCATCAAGAGAAACTAGGGGAGCTGCAAAATGCCCCCCTCCCTGAGCCAAATAGCGTCAGAATGTTCTATTGTAAGAAGCCTGTCAAGCACAGAAGCAGAAGCCAAGCAGAAGCAAAGGTAGGCTTTCCCTGACTTTAAACTGAAACTTCATGGCAATAGAAAAAGAACACTTCTCCGCCACCTTTTCGAAAACAAATCAATTTTTAGTAGCGTTCAGAGTGATTGCTCTTTGAGTTCTGCTGCTGAATTTGTAACGTTATGCTACGTGTTGTTGAGTGATAAGGCTCTAACTTGAAAATAATAGCTTTCACATATTGGCTTGATTTTCTCGGAGTGAATAGTTCTGCGTTGTGGGTCTAGAAAGGGACTCTGAGCCCTAATAAGGGTCGGGTCTAGGTGGACCGAGCACAAATGTTCCAGGGGATCGTATGCTCAGTTCCAGGTTCCCGAAAGATCTTTTAGGCATGGGATTATAGAGGTGAAGCGAATATTTGAGATAGCGGACCTGCCAGAGCAAATAGTTGGAGATCCTTCCAAACAGAGCAATTGCAGCGCTAATAAGAGGTCTCAGCAAGATGCCATCGTCTTTTACAGTAAACATCAACTGCTTTTTCAAGCCCTTTTATCTATGACGTGTTGTTTCTTTAGAAGTTTTTACCTATTCATTCCATGTCACTGCCGCTTACTCATGCTATGAAGCTCCCCTACGCCCCTGCTCACAGCTGTTCTTATGTTTTACACTGTTGGTTTTCCCTTGGTCACTTCGAAATACTTAGAAGCCTTGCCAATTACTCCCTTGGTTTTTCTTCGAAAAACTCTACTAATCTGGGAAGCTTAATGACGACTTACTGTTGATTTTCGCTATATTTCAATGTTATATAAAAGTCCACGTAGCCGTCACTGAAAAGCCAGCATCCTCCGTGCGATCGATAAATGTGAGACACCACTTTTCAGCATGGAAAATACGCCGGAACATGATAAGCTAGTTGAACCGAAGGAAAGTGCAGATGGCGAGGAGGTAAGTACCTTGAACCCATGGGTGTTATCATTCAGAATGCTGCTGTCTTATGATCATTAATTTTACAAAAAAAGGCAGATTTGAGAGATAAGGCAAACAGTGTTACCATGACTCTTGGCTTTACTTCACTGCTCCTTTTCTGCTCTTCTGCATCTCTGCTTTTCTGCTATTGTCACACCTATTAAGTGGAATTTGCTGTGCAGTCAGAGTTCACAATAGCAGAGATTTGGGGGGGTCGTACATGGTCACTCGAGGAAGGGTCTCACCCGGCACTCGACTTGAGATTTTGTGTTTTAACGCGTAAAAAACATTCTGACTGTTGTCATATCCCTTTTACGAGAACGCTGGACACTTTGCCCCGCCCCTTGTTGATGACTCCACCCTCATTTATGGGAGGTGCACTTCAAATCCCGGAGATGGAGAGGGCGCGACTGCGTGCGATCAAGTGGACCCCCACACTTTGACTAAGTTCTTGACATTCTTGGCACCCCATGCAGATGTGATTTCTGTGCTAAGGAGGTCAAACTACCCTGGGAACATTTTCTAGCGAGCTTGCGGAGCGTTTGGCGCTGGAATCAAGCGGTTACGGACCAAGCGGATGTGAATATTCGTATCCAGGGGGGTAAACTATACGTGAGAAATTTCTAGCAAATCTTCCTCTGGAGAAAAAAGTCCTTAAAAACTTGCCTGATTTCGGATGGCTGGGGCTACTAAGTGTAAATAATGCCAGCGCATCAATTCATATATAAGGTCGTTAAAACGCGCTGGCAACTAGTTTTTACACACCTAGCAGTTGTTTTTTCGTTTTGCATATTCTAAATTTCTGATTGGTTTTTCATGCATTTTTTTCCTCAGTATCCCGAATAATTCATTGAAATCGTATATTGACACGGAACAAAGTCCTGTTATAAGCCCTGGTAATCTAAGCACATAGAACTGTCTACCGAGGAAACCGTTGGTGATTTTAGGAAGCGAAACTACAGTCTTGTTTGCTGATAGGGCGTGTCAGGGGAAGGGTTTGGTGCGGCGCTACCCGTTTATACTCGAAATCCCTGAGATCGGGTAGGCGTGGCCGCATGTTTCAACTTAACCTGAAGGTGTCTATGCTTCTGGTGAGATATTTTCATCTTGACACAATTGTTGTCGTGTCTCTGTCCAACACAGAACAAGATGACAGTTGTCCCAGACTGGAATATTCCACGAGTAACCAGTTCCGTGCCATGTTCAAATGCCACGCCTACTCTGGCTCAGGGATAAGGAGTGTATGTACTGACGTTTTTTTCTGGCGAGCGACAAGATTCAGTCCTCTTTCTCAGATTGTTGTCGGTCATCCGCTTTAACAACCCCACCATTTGCAGTGGACAAGATTGTGCATAGCCGCGCTCTCCCCATCTCCGGTGAAGGAGGTGTATCCATTCCTACCGCTCTACGGCAATTTTTGTGGGGGAACTTGGTAAAATCGGGTAGGGTGGAGTCGTACTAGAGGAAAAAACAAGGGGATTATATTGCAAGAAGTTTCACGAAAGAGATGGTGTGCAACAAGCACAGTCACTGCTCTCAACAGCTGACTTTGCCCAATTATGTACCCTATTTTCAAGGGGTAGAGCAGCATTCATTTATACTCGAAATTCCTGAGATCGGGTAGGCGTGGCTGCGTACTTGATTTTAAAATGGCGGCTCAGGTTTTCTTGAGATATTGTCATTTTGGAGCAGTCTCAATCATGTCTACATCTAACACAGAACAAGATAGCAGTTGTTTCAAATTGAAGTATTCCACGAGAAACCCGTCCTATATGCCATGCTCAAAAGCCACGCCTACTCCGTCTCAGGGATAAGGAGTGTACAAGGTCGCACAGTCGCACGTGACCACGCGCGTTAAAGGCAGTTGGCACGATGGTTTCCTACTTAGCCTAAAATGCTAGTAGGGCGCTGTATAGTGGGGAAATGGCGAAAGAACGGAGTGAAACGGTCAAAATCCTGCGAAGAAAAAGCCTCCGTTCTCAGTGACTTGTAAATCGATTTCGGACGAGTTTAGGCATCTTACCAATCACCGCTACCGAAGAGGCTGCATATGTGTACCCATGTATGCATGCAGCATCACGGCCGCTTCATACCAATCCCTTCGCTTCATAATTTGCTTAGCAATGAATGAATACGAGCGTCAGGAACGGTCGTCCATTTGTGGGCGGGCGGGCGTGGCGGGGTTTGGGACGTAAAGTTGTGGCTTGATAGGGCCCTTATAAGGGCACCTTCTCGGGGAAACCGCTATGCAGCGCCTGCCCAGGGTCGCGGAATTCTATCCTGAAAAAAAGATCCTAGTCGCCTTGGGGGATTATCGTGCCAACTGCCTTTAACAGTTTTCTGACACAGTGGCAGAAATTCCGTCTTTTTACATGTTCTTATCTTCTTTCAAGCACTTGCTCTTCATCACCATTATCTGGCTATTTCATCGAAATCGTTCAATGACATGAAACAGGGTCGTACATATTGATAAGACCCTGATAATCCAAGGGCATAGACTGTCCT